CAGTTTCTTCCAAATGCCAGTCAAACCTTCAACACTATAAGTCTGGGCAGATTGGTCGGCCAAACGTGCATAATACTGTGAATCCTCAAACTTGATGGCCTGCTGAACATCGCTTGCAGCTTTCCGCAACATGCTAGTGGTTTTGGCAACCGCATGATCATGCAATCGATTCCATTGAGGAAGGTCACGTTGAATCGCACTGAGACTACTATTGGGTGCTCCTGAGGATGCCCTCCAGCTGAGAAAACATGCTTGCAAGGTTGTATGGCGAGCCACACGCTTGAGTGATTTCAGCTGCTTGAAGAGGTTCTTTTTCACATCCACAAGGTCCCAAGTAGAGGCTGATATATGGCTCTTCCTCTTCCACATCCCTTTCGGTTGAGCAATCTGGGAGACAGCTTGCGATGTTGAATTGGCCAGCCATTCAGCGCTGGCATGTGGGTCAAGTGTCCAAGGTGGAGCACTGACTGAATAGTGCAACAAATGCATGTACTGATCTTGTTGGAGCTTGCATGAGAGGTCTCTCACATCAACTCCCTTGCAGCTGCGTGGCCGTTGATTTGGACGGCGTGGAACTTTCAGGTGCAAACGGCATGAGACTGCAAAATGGTCATGTCGATGAACGCTGAGATCAATGTTGCTTTCAACTTGTGACTCAATAAGGTCAAACTCAATCTCACGTGGCAGAGCTACATAGTCAATGCGTGTCTCATGTTGGCCATCTGGCGCAAGAAAGGTCGCCGCTTCTCCATGATGTAGGTGCTGAAAAGTAGCTGGCAAAAATAAGTCATGAAGCAACAGCCAATCGTGAAATAGGGCTCCAGCTTGGTTTTCAACGGAGGACTGATGCGGTCCAACAGATGCTGTTATTTGCTCGCCAAGATGGGCATTGGCATCACCACAAAAGAAGACAGGAGCTCCACGTGCTTTCTTCTGTAGAATGGCAGTGATGTTGTGCCAAAATTGGTAAGCATCAGTTCGTGGCTTCCCAGAATGCGGGGCTCTGCAGGTGACTATGATGCATCTCCAGGTGTGTAACTTGAGCGACGCAATGAGGTAATCTACAGCAGAAGCAACTATCTTGATGTCTTTGCGCTGGATCAAGGTTCCTTCCCCGTCAATAGGAAGTCGTTTCGATACCCAAAGCTGGATGCCATCGTGACCCGTCAATGTAGCAGGATGACCAACAATGTGGTAGAGGTCATTGTTCAGAGCAAGCAAATGCCGATGTCTGGTTTCCTGGAGACCAATCACATGACATGATGCCTCATGGAATTGCTGCATAAGGACATGTTGCCTGCTGATGGTTGGTTTGTGTTCCTTCTGTGCCATCAAGGTCATGACATTCGCAGTCGCAATCTTGAACATGAGAGGATGATTGCAAACAGTTTCTGTCTTGCCTTGATAGGAAGGCGTGGCATCATGGTCATGACACGGAGTTGCAGCTGGAATGATGCATTTCATGATGCCATTGCATAAGGCTGGAACTCGTGAGTCGTGAACTTCCATGAGTTCTTTGTACCAAAGCCACTGAAAGGCCGTCAGCTTGTCAGGCGAATCCAGCCATTGCTCCCAATAGGCACTGCTCTGTGCTTGGTCGTAGTTTTGGACAACCCATTTGGCGAGGGTGTCGGCCGCTTCATTCCATGGGTGGCCTGCATGGGCTTTTACATAAATCCAAGCAAGTGCATCAATGCCATGTCTGGTTTGTAAGACCTGAGCAATACTTCGGGTGAGGACTCGCCAGCTGTGTGCATGGGAAGTGCGCCAATATCCTGCGGCAAGGTAGCCAGAACACGTGGCGTCAAAATTGAAGCTAAAAGCCAATTGAGCTTGTCCATGGACTTCCCAATGTTGGTTGCTCAGCTGAAGAGCCCACAATAGCGCCCATGCAATAGCTCCATTTTCACCAGCAACAGAGGTGTCACCCGTTTCAACTTTGCGATAAAGACAACCACCATAGTGCCATCCGATGGCCGTTTCAATCAGTAGAACAACAGCAGCTCCGACTAAGTCAGGTGCAGCTTTTGATCCATCAGTGAAGAAGTGATACGCCAGACGAATTTGGTCACCAAGTGGTTGCAGATCCCTCATGGCAGCGCAAGTGACCTCTGGCATTTCGAGCTGTGGGGGCCAACATTGCAGAAAGTGATGCCCAATGTTGTGCAATTCATTTGCCAAGAAAAGCCCCGAGGAGAAGTCAACCTCTACAGTGAGGGGTGGGCTGATCAAGTCCTCAAGTTTGAGCATGTGAGGTTCAGGCCACTGGGTATGAGCTACCTGCCCAGTTGTTAGGCGCCTGTCCTCTGCTGGTTTGGTTGACTTCAACACTGCTTTGGTTTGCAAGAAACTTGCCGAGGATGCCGCCTCTGTCGCGGTCCACTCTTCTTGATTCCACTCAAAAACTCCGGTTCTTTGGATGATGAGTGAGAAAGTGTCACCATGCCTGCAATGATATTCTGTTTCCTCAGAAATCTCATGGCCCTGTTGCCAAATGGTACACGTTGTGTACAAGTTGAGTGGCGGGCAGTCATATTGCCGGTTAATGGCTGCCAGAAAGTGGGCACGCCGGACTTGTTGTGAAAGAATTGCGGCTGTGACATGTGGGCGATTGTTCATGACTCCATCATCATATGTCGTGATCAGAGTGGAGCACTCCTGATGCTGAAGCAATTGATGTACAATAATATGGAGTTGCCCAGGAACATGATCATAGACGATGGTAAAGTCTACAGCAATGTGTGGGTCCAAGAGGTCTAGCCAGATACGCTGAAGCTGGCTTTCCCACTGATGGAAGTTGTCGCCCAAGGTTGTAAGCCGTTCTTCATCATTGACTCTAATCCGACCAGAATGTAGAAACCATGTGTGAACATGCAGGAGACGCTCAAGATGCGCAGGCCCAGTGCGAGCATGGACATCCCAATGCCTGAAAAGTTCACGTGTGAAGTCAGTCTGATCATCGATGTTCGGAATCGCCGCAGGCATGTCATTGGTCACTGGGTCAGAGGTGGTAAACCACTGCGGCACTGTAATGTGCTCATTCCCAATGTGCTGAACTATCACTGGTGGGTGGATGTTCAAAATGATTCCATTCCCAGCTTGAAGTGGGACAGGCTCATCAGGCTGGAATGCACGAGCATCATGTTGCAACTCACATCTGCGATCAATGCAGATCCTGCCCAGGCGGCAAAGGTCACGAACACGGAAGGCATTTGTTGGTGATTGAAGAACTGCCGCAACATAGTTGAGTCCAGTATGTCGATCAGTGAGAAATCTGATGGTGACCAGAGCTGGCACTGCTGGGTACAATACATCTTGATAAACAATCAAATGTCCAATTGTCCAGCTAGTGTCATGCCGCGGTGGCTCTGGATGAACAAGTGCAAATTGAACTGGTCTCGCCATCTGAATCTTGTCACGCCAAAGATGCACAATGTCAGAGATCCAAAGGTGCACTTGTTGATCAAGGCGCAGAATCCTACTTTCTTCGGAAACTTGTTCATGGGAGCCGCTCACAAACCAGGTTGTCAAGAAGGCTATAGGGCCTTCTTCTTCGCACTCAACTGCAGATCGGTGCACAAAATCATGGTGAAGAGCTTGAAACCATGACGGGCGAGGCTCCTCTTGCGCTAACCGGCGGTGATTTGGAAAATGGCTTGGGGAAGCTCGCTCAAAGCTAGTTGCATTCTCCTGTGCACCATAATGTTGATGTGTTTTGCATCTAGTGAAAGAAAAGTCCAGAGAGGTGCTAACCTGCATCAAGGCGTTCACATCCACAATTTCCTGCTCGGCTTCGATCTCTGTGTGGAAGTCATCCGGGTCAGGATTGGTGTGATATCGATGGACAATCTGTCCATGATTCAATCCATGCTGACAGGCTCTAATTGCAAAATAAGTTGGAATCTCTGGTTGCGCAAAGGGGGGAACGGCAACCCTCACATAATCACCATGAGATAACTCCAAATTTGCACTATTCTGGTGTGGGACAAGTTGCCCATGATGCCAGAGCAGACATCTGTCTTGCCGAAGCTTACAGTATGCTGCAACACCAGTGATCTTGAGGAGCAAAGACCTATGTATAGGCGTTGGGATCATTGCGGTGTACCGGTCAGTCTCAATGACCGAATCAAAGTTGGATCCATGAATTTCAACATCTATAAGGATGGCCCTGCGATTGTCTCCAAACCTGATGTCCTCGTGGGCAAGCAGGATGAGCGGTTGGACTCGTGCGGCATGTAGATCACTTGGCACTGGATTGATGTCGTAAATGCTCGCTACATCGTGGTGTCGATATCCGAGCAAACGTCTGGTTTCAATAAAAGCAGCAGCTGGTGGTCTGGTGCGCACCCTCCCACTTGCAATATTTGAACGCAGATCGTATACTTGCACTGATTGCCAGTCAGCCTGTTCCGACACTGAGGATGGTGATGTGGGCACATGTGTGTGCAAGTCAGAGTCACTTTCAGGGCTGGACTGCGGTTGCTGCACTTGGTGAGGTCGACGTGCCATAAGAGAAGTGCAGTCATCCGAAACCTCATTGTCGAGACTAATGAAAACCTCCTCATTGATCGTCTCAAACCTGTCATGGTGAGGCTCAAATCGGGGTGGAAAATACGATTCAAAAATCTCGGCAAAGGGCACAAACTTGACTTTCTTGCAAATGTCAATCTTTGTGTTGGTTCTCAATGATGAAGGTCGTTCGAAATTAGCATCATTGGATTGGGCAGGTCTGTAAGCAGGCTGCACTCCATTGCCAAGCACTTCATTCCTCAGGCATGTTGCACTTGCCAATGCCGATGGTTCAGAAAGAAAGGTTGGCTCCCAATGTATGCTGTGGCACCGAATCATGAAACGAATGGGATCAAAAGCGAGGTCCGGCTTGCATGCTGCATCGAGATCTTGGGGTCGATAGGCATCAGCAAACTCGGGCGCCTCTTGATGTAAAACTGGCACACGTAGCCTGTTCCATTGGCTCGGACACAGATCTGCGCTGCCGATGTTCACGAGGGTGGCGATGAGGCATGCTGCTCGCCCAATGCCGCCATTGGAGTGCCGAACGGCTCCATAGAGCGAGGTCTTTTGCTCTTTCGGTCTGTATCGTCGTCTGAATTGATCTCCATAGTTTCGGATGCTTCTGCGGCTGCAGCTATGCTCTGTTGCAAGCTCTCTTGCACCTGTTGCACAAGTGCGTTGGCTTCGGCTTCGAAGGCAGCTCCATTGTCCCCATCTGCTGTCTCTCTGCCTGTGTCGCCAGCTTCGGTAGAGATTGGTGCACCGACTTCTGCTGCCTGCTTGTTGAGTTGCTGCAGTTGCCTTCTGGCTGCAGTCAATTCCTGCTGGGCTTGTAGTAGTTGATCTCCATATTCCTTCTGCTGATCTTTGAAGAGCTGCAGCTGCTTTTGCCAGCTGTTGACTGAATCGCGCAAATGCTTCAACCAATTTTGTCGGTGTGCGGTTCTGGCATCCTTCACTGAAGCCAGATGTCGGGCAGCTTTTCCGACTTGGTTGGATGCTCGATTGAGGTCTTTTGATAAGGCTTTGGAGGTCGCTTTGTCGGCCTTGTCCACTGCCTTTTTGATGTCGTCCGGGGCCTTTGCAAGGTCCGGATAGGACTTCCGAACTGCTGCAAGTAACTCCGCGCCTGCTTGAGCTGTTGCAGATAGTGTCGGTGGAATTGGCTCTTGTTGAGAGCTGGCTGGAGCTTCTGGAGAGGGCCATGGTGGGATAGCTGCTGCTTGAGCGGGCTGTGATAACTGCTCGCTGCTCATGGCACCTTTGCTTCCTTTTCCTTTGCCTCCTCCTTTGCGGGCTCGTGCGCTCTCGCTTCGATCTGCCTGATTCCAGGGCCTCGTTCGCCCTTTCTTCTGCTTCGTCTTCTGGTTGTAGCCCCAGTCCCATTGCGACTGTTGGGCAACTGCTCGTGGCGACTTCGGAGCATTGGAATGCGGCTGTCCGCTGCTCCAGTGCTTCTGGCATGTGGGACAGAACGTATGTCGTTTCCCGTTCAGTCTCCCGCATGCACATCGCCATGGGTATGACTCTTGTGCTGCCATTTGTATTCGTTCCAGGAAGCCTATGTCCTTGGAATGATGTCTGGCCAAAACTGATGTGATTCTGGCTAATTGCGTAGTGGTCAATTTCCTTTGACCTTTGCGATGCTGATGCCAATGTGCACGAGCAGTGGCTCGCAATCGCCTGTCTCTCCTCCTCGATGTTTGTGTAGCCGTGGTCGAACTGCACGAAATTCACCAAAAATGAAATGCACAAAATGAGGAAATTGGATTGCATCAAAGGTGGCTTCCTCCCGGTACAGCTCCAATGATGAGAAAAGGGATATACGCACAGCAAAAGTAACCAGGAAAATCAACTGAACACAAATGCCGTGATGTCCACGATATCAAAGTGATAGGTCAAGTCAATGACAGCTAGCACGATGAAATGGAATACCCCAAAGAAATAAACCCCAAGCAGTAGGTCAAGTGAATGACAGCTAGTGCAAATGGGAATATCGGTGTGAGGCCACCGCAGAACCAGGTGCTTAGGCGAGGTGATGAGATCCCTCCCGGGGACTCAGAGCACTTTCCGTAGTGCAACCAGGTCAGAAAGGCAGCCCGTGGGTCAGGTCAGCGAAGACCCACTCAGGTTAATGGCACCGCAAACAGGGAACGACGGGTGCTGGAGCCAGAACCTTCTATACATATATGTATATATATATATATATGTACAATACTTGTTTATATATAATGCATATATATATATATGGTATATGGATATCGGATAGTTGCATAGATACATATTAATTGTTCTACCTGAACATTTAGCGGGAAACAGCCCAGATCCATTGAATAACCATAATTTTCTCCACAACAAAAAATACAACAAATCCCCATGATTGAGAAAACTGCTCATTTTCAGACAAACCTGTACATTAATCATTAAACAACAAGAATGGCTGTGATTTCTTTGGTGTTACATGAATCTAAGCGTGGTATCATATGGCGCTCAGTTCAAAAAGCTTGCAACCCATTCATCTGGGCATATTCCATGAATCTAGCCTCTGGTAAACTAACATAACTATGGAAAATCACCATTTTATATGGGTAAATCCACTATTTCGACTGGGCCATTTTCAATAGCTTTTTGTATGTTTACCAGAGGGTATCATGTGTGCCATGGTCCATGGTATGGCTTATGGTCGTCCATCCCATCTTGGGTGGATGACCATCCCCTTCTATGGGAATTAGATGTTATTAGATGTTGTTCTTAGATGTTATTAGGTGGGTAGATGTTCTTAGATGTTGTTAGCCATCAAGAACTAAGAACCATTCAACTGGATCCTGCATGTATCTGGGCAAATTATAATATTTCACTAACCTGAATTAAGGCCATTTGGGGATGATTTCCCTTACTAACCATGATTTCCAGTGAGGTCGCAGTGAGGTCGCTATAATTTACCCAGATGTATGTAGCATTCACTCATTTCAAGGACCATCGCCATAAGTCTGAGTGTATCATCGATGGTGATCTCTGTCTGGTCTGATTTTTTGGGCCCCTACCCCCAAGGTATCGCCAGTTTCTTACTGAAAATCATGAACAGCCATGGATTGTTTTTTTTGATGTTTTTTACCCTTAATTTTCAGGTACCGGGGTCCATTTTTAGTGAAATGTTCACTGCCTGCAGGCAACATCTGGGCAGTTTGTGTAATTTCACGAACCTGAAATAATGAGGATGATTCCCCGAATCCAATTCCCATCATTCCAGTGAGGGAGAACAGTGAGGGCGTTAGAATTTACCCTCAAGTTACCCAAAAAATATCTGGGGATGGCTCGATGGGTCATATATTACCTATAAAAATTACATATTATTACCATATTTTGGGAGAATCACGATTCGTAAATCCCAACTATTACCACCCACCTGTCCCAGAGACCCATCGTGCCATCGTCCCACCTGTCAAGCTCATCAACTTCCACTGCTTCCATCTGCAGGAGCACATAGTTCGGAGCCCTGGTGGAACGTCGACGACCTGGTTACGTTCTCGCGATGTTTGATGAAACCGCACGATTTGGTTATGATGCACTATCAATTATCCTTTCCTCATAGATTACTATAGTTTTCTGGTTGGTGGCTGACCTACCCCTCTGAAAAATATTGGTCAGGAGTCAGTTGGGATGATTATTCCCAACTGAATGGAAAAACAAAAAATGTTCCAAACCACCAATCAGATTATATACTAGAGTTTTTGTTCTTGACTATCATGTTTTATCCGAATCCCCATGATTGCCTTTGGCTTTTGTTCAAATGTCTACCCAATGTCCCTATTGTAGATGTTTTTTCCCCGAATCCCCAAGTATATCCCGGTTGTTCTCCATCAATTGTCGATTGAATTGCCAATCGTTCATGGTTGAATCTCCGTTTTGCTTGGCCAACGTTCTCCATGTGTTCTGCCGAACAGTTCTTTGGACAGCCTGGTATTCGGCATCCCAGGAACTGCCGCGATCAACAGTTTCCGCACGCTTACTTCACTTACTTCACCCATCGACAAACCATAATGAGGAAAAAAGTATGATCATTCATATGGCTATTGGTCAAAACCCTGGCACCTAGTGAACCCCAAAATAGCTGGTAAATGGATGTTCATCCCATTAGAATTGATAATAATAGGTTTTGACCCACCCCCATATGATTGCAGGTATACTTTCATAGATTCCATAGTGACATATAATTCTATCTACTTCATATACATGTGTTATGATCCATCTGGGCAATTCCCATCATTCCAGTGAGGTCGTGCTGAAATTTATGCAGATATATGTCATCACCAATTCTAAATCGATGATGTAGTATCCAACAGTATCATCACCAACTTGATTTCATCACATATCGATCAGCAATACAGTTATTATGCGGATATCTGTCATCACCATATATCTGCATATCTGCATAAATGATCATATAGCAAATGTATCTGCACGTGCTAAATACCTAAATCTAGTTTAACTCATCGCCCTATCAAACTCTATTGCTGATCAATCTGTGGCCAATTCCAACCCATGCCTGGCCAATTTCTTCATGTTTTTCCATGGCCGATCCATAATCCCATCTCTACAGTCAATAGCCTCTGGTAAACATAGAAAAAACAATGGAAAATCACAATTTTTAATGGGTAAATACCATGTTTCATTGGTAAATACCATGTTTAATGGGTAGTTATCAACTATTTCGACTGGGCCATTTCCCAGTTCTCTATGTGACAAATTACCGGAGGGTATATTTCCTACAGCTATGGCCCGACATACCAGTTATAAGTTATAAGTACTTAGAAGTAACAGAACCCCATTTATGGTTTATGTATAATCATCTTAGAACTAACAAAACCCCATTTATGGTGTATGTATAATCATCTTAGAACTAACAAAACCCCATTTATGGTGTATGTATAATCATCTTAGAACTAACAAAACCACATTTATGGTTTCTGTATAATCATCTTGGAACTAACAAAACCCCATTTATGGTTTATGTATAATCATCTTAGAACTAACAAAACCCCATTTGTGGTTTATGTATAATCATCTTAGAACTAACAAAACCCATTTTTGGTGTATGTATAATCATCTTAGAACTAACAAAACCCCATTTATGGTTTATGTATAATCATCTTAGAACTAACAAAACCCCATTTATGTTGTATGTATAATCATCTTAGAACTAACAAAACCACTTTTGGTTTATGTATAATCATCTTAGAACTAACAAAACCCCATTTATGGTTTATGTATAATAATCTTAGAACTAACAAAACCCCATTTATGGTTTATGTATAATCATCTTGGAACTAACAAAACCCCATTTATGGTTTATGTATAATCATCTTAGAACTACTGTAACAAAACCCCATTTATGGTTTATGCATAATCATTATAATCCCATTGAAATAACCAGTTATAACTCATAGCCATGGCCAGAACTGCTGCAGTGTTACACTGGTTTAGCGTCGAATCTCATCATTTTGAGGTTCACTTTTGGGGGTCTTTCGGGTTGCGAAACCAATGGCCCCCTGACTTTCTCGGTTTCAGAAAGGTAAGGCATTGGCTTTATATACCATCGGGTTATTTAACATAGCCATGGAAAATCACCATTTTTAATAGGTACACCATCTATACCATGGCTATGTTGAATGACCAGAGGGTTATATATGACGAAATATGTATCAACCAGCCAGCCTCCAACAGCAAAAGGCACCACCCATATTTAGAAACTAAACCAACTTCCAAAAAATATGTATCAACTTGCGGAACCACCAAATATATATATATATATATTATATATATATATATATATGAGTAAAACCCAACCCCAAAATGCAAAATGAGGGTAAGCGCCTCTAAATTGTAAGTTCACTTTTTTTCTGATTTTTTGAGGGAGTTGACCGAAAAATTCACAGTGCCACTGTGCCACTTGGAGGTTGAAGTGGACTAACTGCCCCTAGTTAGCACATGGAAATCACCAGGGTGAAAACCAACCATCACCAGTAGTGCATTGATGTTTTGCTAAACATGTGGATATTAATGATTCTCTTTGCAAATTCAAAGTTCAATATGTTCAATCCTCCAAAAATTGGCGCTGAAAAATCCATATAGTTCTTGGCGGTGAAATCCCTATTTTGGTAGTTAAATCACCATTTGTGTAGCTTAAATCCATATACCCTCTGGTAAACTAACATAGCCATGGAAAATCACCATTTTCTAGCTGGGTAAATCCACTTTAAATGGCCATTTTCAATAGCTATTTTGACATAACCAGAGGGTATTTGTTGTTTTAAAATCACATGCATAGGTTGGTTAAATCACATTTTTCTAGCGTAAATCATCATTTTTGTACCTTGAATCCTCCCATTTTATTGGAAGCTTCAACCAGCAGTTCACCACATCTTGGCTCCTCCGGGAGCGGCTGGCTAGTTCCTCCATAAACCGAAGCAGCTGTGCGTCCTGAGACATGGTAATTTTATGGGAGTTGTATGGATTTTTATGGAACTTGAGTGAAAATTATGGAGCTTTGGTGATTCCATTGATGGTTTGATGGGATTTTTCGTGGATGTCATCTATTTTTCATGAGGTCTTAAGAAACTTTCATGGGATGTGGCTGGGATGTGGCTGAGATTTTCATCTTAGAAAGGTTCCATCTTTTGCCTCGAAATATCATCAAATGGAGATTCCCTAAGTCATGCAGGTACCCCAAATCATCCAAGTCATGAATGACCATTGAAACCTATTGAAACCCGTGATGGCCATTGTGACTTGGGTACAGTATCCCGCATTTTAAGAAAGCCCCATATGCCGGGATTTCCCACCTGATTTGTGGGTTGGGGATTCTTTTGAGACATTTTGAGACCATCTTCATCCATTCTATGGTGTTCGAATGATCATCATCATTTTTCCCAGATTCTTTGCACATCAACATTTTTTTCAGAAACCACAGGAAGTTTCCAATCCACGCGGGGCACCCCTAGTTCTCATCGATTTTTTTTTCGGATTTTCCATGAAACCATCCAGGCATTGGGGACCCCCCATGACTATTCGCTCCGATTCGCTCCTGGTAAGCTGCGTGGTCCCGGGGCAAAATCTCCACGGATCGATACCAACCTCGAAGACGCGCAGAAGGCGCGTCTTAGGTGGTGATGTTTTCTGGATTTCGGCATCAAAATGGAGGGCCAAAGCAGCAACATGTTGATTTAATGGGATTTAATGGGACTTAGGAATACTTAGGATGTATCTGGATGTTGATTTAATGGGATTTAATGGGGCTTAGGACCTAGGATGTATATATCTGGCTAAATAAGTCACGTCACGAAGCTGAAAATCATTGAAGACAAGGCCATTTGGGGATGGTTTTTACAACAACCACATTCGAGTGATGGAGAACAGTGAGGTCATTCGAATTCATCCAGCTTCATTGGACTTTCAAGAGGGATTTGATCATAGGGATTGAAGGGCATAGGATCAGCGAACAGATGTGGATTTAACAGCGAAAATAGGGTCTTGTTGGATTAAGAATGTGAATTTGACCATGAAAAGCATGATTGGTTTTTGAAATGGAATTGAGCATCAAAGTATGGATCTAATGTCAATGGAAGAGTCAAAAATATTGACTTTACCATGAAAATAATGGTTTATACATGTTTATGCGGGTTTTAATAGATATTTAGCCATCAATATAAATCTATTTGGTTGAATAAACATCTGATTTCTATCTGCTTTGGAGGAAGTCCTCAATGTGCAACCACAACAAGGACAACAACAACTACAAGGTGGTGCCCCCCAGTTATAAGTTGGTTTATAATCCCATTAACTATAGATATATCACCTATAACCATAGTTATTGGAGTTATAAACCAACTTAGCTATCTAGGGGGCACCACCTTGTAGAACTGATGTATTTCAAAGGCCCACATCTGAGATGTGGAGACCCCAGCTCAACAAAGAAAGGCTGCGAGTCCCAGCGGCAACTGTGGTTTGTTCAGGAAATGACCAAAAGTGTTCTGGATGTTCAATATCTGTGTTGCTGTACTGGAAGATAACTTATTTATACAAATATATATATATATACATATTATATCCAAAAAAAACTGATGATCTTCTGCCAAGTTTCGCCATATTGCGTACCCAAATCATCAATGATGCTTGTACATTGCCATTATTTGCCATTTAGCGACCAGACTCCCCAAACACCCAGTCTTGCAGCCAAATCGTTATAGATGTTTCTCAAGTCAACCAGGGGTAACCCAAGAATCACCGTTGCTTTCCCTCATTCTTTCACTTGTTAGGATGAATCCCCATTAAAAATAGATTGAGCACCTGTATCAATTCCCACAATGATAGACATGGTATGGCCTTAGCTGGATGAAAAAAAGGGCAAGACTGCAAGACCTCATTTTCTGGCTTTCAGATCTCATATGATTTAATCCCAGAACAATCCAGACTAGGTTCTGGCTTCAGGTTGTCTGATATGGAGTGGTATGGTACGAGCAAGAACTTCAAGAACCCATGGAAACCTCTTCCTTCCCCTTCCCACATAGACATCAAAATGGACCTCTAAGAGTTTTATTTCGTGCTGGTGTTTTTTGAAAGTTGAAGTCGCTACCAAACCGTGGAATTTCATGAATTTCTACTAAGAAAAAGGTCCGTCGAAGTATTTCATTTTCACCGGGCGCAGAGCTCATGAATGTACATCGTACTGCGATACCAGTAGAATGCGATACTTGACAGAAACAAATTGATATCCGTTGCCAGTTTCAATCTGTTCAAGCCCATCCCCGAAAAACGGGAGGCAACTCATTGGGATCGTCCCGGAGAGGCCGAGCTCAGCAAAGGCACACTATCGACATGGCTCTTCTCAGCTGCGATAAGCGGTGCTCCGTCAGCTTTGGCCTTGTCCTCCGCTCCAAGCGCAGAACTTCCACATGCCCCTCTTGAGCTGCGACGTCCAAAGGTGTTGCTCCATCATTAGCAGCTTTGTGAAAGTCTGCTCCAGCCTCGAACAGCAAGCGTACTGCTTCCGCATGGCCATTCTGAGCTGCGACGAACAAAGGTGTTGTTCCATTATCAGTTGTGGCTTTATCATAAACCACTCCAGCCTCAAGCAGCAAGCGCACAACTTCAACATGGCCCTCCTGAGCTGCAATGTACAACGGTGTTGTTCCATCATCGGTTGTGGCCTTGTCATACTCCACTCCAGCCTCAAGCAGCAAGCGTGCAACTTCCACATGGCCATTCTGAGCTGCGATGTACAACGGTGTTGCTCCAATGTCAGTTCTGGCTTTGTCATAGTCCACTCCAGCCTCAAGCAGCAAGCGCACAACTTCAACATGGCCCTCCTGAGCTGCAAAGAACAAAGGTGTTGTTCCATCATCGGTTGTGGCTTTATCATAATCCACTCCAGCCTCAAGCAGCAAGCTTACAACTTCAACATGGCCCTTCTCCGCTGCAATGTACAACGGTGTTGTTCCAGTGTCAGTTCTGGCTTTGTCATAATCCACTCCAGCCTCAAGCAGCAAGCGCACAACTTCAACATGGCCCTCCTGAGCTGCAATGAACAAGGGTGTTGTTCCATCATCGGTTGTGGCTTTATCATAATCCACTCCAGCCTCAAGCAGCAAGCTTACAACTTCAACATGGCCCTTCTCCGCTGCAATGTACAACGGTGTTGTTCCAGTGTCAGTTCTGGCTTTGTCATAAACCACTCCAGCCTCAAGCAGCAAGCGTGCAACTTCCACATGGCCATTCTGAGCTGCGATGTACAACGGTGTTGCTCCAATGTCAGTTCTGGCTTTGTCATAGTCCACTCCAGCCTCAAGCAGCAAGCGCACAACTTCAACATGGCCCTCCTGAGCTGCAACGAACAAAGGTGTTGTTCCATCATCGGTTGTGGCTTTATCATAATCCACTCCAGCCTCAAGCAGCAAGCGCACAACATCAAAATGGCCCTTCTCCGCTGCAATGAGCAACGGTGTATTTCCAATGTCAGTTCTGGCTTTGTCATAGTACACTCCAGCCTCAAGTAGCAAGCGTGCAACTTCCACATGGCCATTCTGAGCTGCGATGTACAACGGTGTTGTTCCAATGTCAGTTCTGGCTTTGTTATAGTCCACTCCAGCCTCAAGCAGCAACCGCACAACTTCAACATGGCCCTCCTGAGCTGCAATGAACAAGGGTGTTGTTCCATCATCGGTTGTGGCTTTATCATAATCCACTCCAGCCTCAAGCAGCAAGCTTACAACTTCAACATGGCCCTCCTGAGCTGCCATGAACAAGGGTGTTGCTCCATCGAAAACTGTGGCCAAATCAGCCTCCGCTGAAGCTTCAAGCAATAAAGCAACACTTCCCACATGGCCACGCAAGGCTGCCAAAAGCAACGGCGTGCAGCCTTGAGGATTTGTGTCTCGGGCATCTCTTGCCGCTCCAGCTTCAAGCAAGAGCCGCATAGATTCCACGTGCCCATTCTCAGCTGCATGATGCAACGGTGTTCTGCCGTCTTCATCTGTCACACGCGGAGTTCGCGGGCCCTGCAGCATCAATTCAAGTGCAGGAAGGTCATTATCCCTGGAGGCAGCGATCATCCTTCGATCTTCTTCAGCTTCGGGTGGCAAAAAATCCAAGACCACCAATTGCACCTTCACTAAATCAGAAGTAAACACCTCATCATCTTGAATTTCGTGAGACCAATCTTCAGTCCACAACCTCTGCCGAAATCTGGAGACGCCAACCTGAGCTGCCAAAGATCGTTTCACTTCCTTGGCCGTTTTGCCTTCGTAGTCATCCACAACTGCCAGAGCCTGACCGGATACTGCAGAGTACACAGAGCACATTGGCTCTGTCAGTGGCCAGGCCCAAGAAAATCCGGACCTATGTATCTCATTGGGAACTTGGGCACGAAATTCAGCTTCTACACAGAGATCAGAAATTATCGAAAAAAATCGTTTGAAAAGATATGTTGTGATTTTGCCAGGACAAGAACCATCAAAAAGTCTGGGCATGAACCCCCTAAAAAAGTGATCTGAAACCAATCGGACAGTCTGCTGATTTCAGTGCCCGATCTCCCGGCATCAATGGGTGAGTTGAAAATGACAGAGGGACGCTGTCAGGGCCCCATTTTTACGTGTTTTTTAAACCACGAATTGAGGAGTTGACCCATGAAAACAAGGTTTTTAAATACGTGATTGAACCACGAAAAACTATCAGGATTCAACCAATAAATACACACAAATTTATGCCAAAATATACATACACAACATTCGTTGGCTGAATTGAATGGAAGGTGTATCTTTTTTATGATATACGGTACATGCCTGGTTTTATTGTATACATATATATATATATATATGTGTGTGCTGTAATGGAAATTCATGAAACATCATAAAACCATTGGCCTTATATGTGTTTTTAATGTTCATGTGCATGAATCTGGGAGAAAAAAAAGATGATGATCATTCGAACACCATAGAATGGATGAAGATGGTCTCAAAAGAATTCCCAACCCACAAATCAGGTGGGATATCGATATCCCAGCAGATGTTTTTTTTTAATGGGAGATACCCAAGTCACCATGGCTTTCAATAGCTTTCAATACTAAAATGGTCCAATGACTTGGATGATTTGGGGTGCCACCAGCCACGTTTTTCGCTGCAGCTATCAAAGGCGTTGCCCCAAACTGGTTGGTCATCTCTTTGTCACAACCCAACAAAAAACTAGGAAGCGGACCATGTCCAGAGAGCCACATTTTTCGCTGGTAGCTGTCGAAACCAGGGCCCCGGTGAGGTGAGCTCATCGTTGTTGGCTCCCAGCCGTCAAGATGGCCACACTCAGCTGCCATGTGCAAGGGGGCCCTAGCTAGTGTTCTCGATGGTGCATCTATCTCTGCACCTGCCTCCAGTAACAGGCACATGGGCTCAACATGCCCTTTCTTTGCAGCGTAGTGCAGAGGTGTCACGCACGATTGTCCCGCGCTGCGGCTATCATCTGCTTGTCGTCTTCTGCATCCGGTGGACAAAAAAAAACAAGACCACCAGCTGGACCTTTGGAGGCACTGAGGTAATGACATCATCATCTGGGACCTCAACAGCATCACCTTCCAGAAAGAGTCTTTGTCTAAATCTGGTGACACCAATCTTAGGTGCCAAGGCTTGCTTCACCGCCTCAGCGGTTTTTCCTTCGAACTCAGCTGCCTGAAGCAAGGCAACTTTCTCGCCGGATGCCAAGAAACAGACCTCCATTGCTGGTTGAAATGGTACCTGAAATGCAGGGAATCTGGATAGAAACACATGGAAACTGAAGATCTGTGAGGCCCAAGTGGACCCTTTCATTTCAAGCTGCATGGCTTTCTTGGAAATCGCCATGGCCGCATGGCTTTCTTCGAATTCCGACTCCTAGCGGTGATGATGGCCACACATGGCCATGTTGTCAGGTTTTTTGGAGCCCCCAAGGATCATCAACCAAGTGGGAAACCCTGGGTTCCTGCTCAACTGCTCGAGTTAAGTTTAACTGGAGATTTGGACTGCTAAGACTCGCAAGGTGTTGTTGCTAGAAGGGGGTGTCACCAAGATTTTAAGGCAGGGTTTGATTTAATGCCCAGAACTGGAGTTGGATTGAATATACCGGTTTCAATTCCCAACCTAGGAATCATGTCAGATCCCCAAGAATTCCCAGCACATGTTGTTCCATCACCTTCAACGTTCAGGTTTGTTCAATCTACGCACTTTCCGATATGATTCTGCCTCGAAGTGAGACAGAAAACAAACAATGTCCGCATGGCGATTGTCGGACGCCACATCCAGAGCAGTCCTTTCAGAGTTGTCGAGGAGATGGCGATTGGCACCTGACTCCACAAGGACGCGGACAACGTCCACATGGCCTTCTGCAGCTGCTCGATGCAGCGCCGTTTCCCCAAACCTTTCATCGGTCTTGTCCTTGTCACAACCAATTTCCACTAGGAAGCGCACCATGTCCAAATCACCATATTCAGCTGCAATGCTCAATGTATTTCCGTAATTCAAGGGCTGCTCCTTGTTGGCTCCCTCAGCCACAAGAAAGCGAGCAATGTCGACGTAGTTGTGCTCAACCGCCAATAGCAATGGTGTTGACCCATAGCCGTCAGTCAGATCTTTCTGTGCACCATTTTGAACCAGAAAACGCACTGCCTCAAGGTGGCCATTGTGAGCTGCCTTGTGCAAGGGGGCCATCTCATGTTCTTCGCATGTTGCATCTATCTCTGCGCCTGCCTCCAGCAACAGCCGCATCGGCTCAACATGTCCATCTTCTGCAGCATGGTGCAAGGGTGGCATGCCCTCAGCATCTCTTGTGTTCGGATTCTGAGGGCGTTTCAGTAACTGTTCAAGGCCAACTGTATCGTTGTCCCTTGCTGCAACCATCAACTGCTCGTCTTCTGCCACATCTGGTGGGCAAAACTCCAAGACCACCAGCTGAAGCTTTTCAGGCACTGGGGTAATGACATCATCATCTGGGATCTCAACAGCATCACCTTCCAGAAAGAGTCTTTGTCTAAATCTGGTGACACCAATCTTAGGTGCCAAGGCTTGCTTCACCGCCTCAGCGGTTTTTCCTTCGAACTCAGCTGCCTGAAGCAAGGCAACTTTCTCGCCGGATGCCAAGAAACAGACCTCCATTGCACGTCTGTATGAAAAAAATCAACGCTGGCAACCAAAAAAAAATGCCAAACTTTCGAATTTCGGATACGGTGGATGGAAGAAATCCTGCACCAGTTGATATATGGTTTATCCCCTTATAATCCCATGAAATTTACCATGTTTCATAGTCATCCATGAATCATCGATGGGGTATGATAGACATGCCAGTTTCTAGATATCACACGTTGCTTTGACGGATCCAGGGCGGCCGCGGAGCGTAGTTTCCCACCATGCTGATCACGAGATAAGGGGTGTGTCTGAAATTGGGTCCTGACATCTCCCAGTTACCCTCTGGTTATGTCAAAATAGCTATTTAAAATGGCCATTTATAGTGAGTTTTTCCCATCGAAAATGGCGATTTTCCATAGCTACGTTAAATTACCACAGGGTATGACCATTCCAGGGAAATGATGACTAATGCTGAACCACTGGAATGCCTGGTGCCCTATTTCCAGACAAACACATTAATGATAAATTGATCCACGCGAAAAACATGTCTATGTCTAAGCGAAATCATCTATAGATACCAGGAAAAAGTCTTAAGCTGCTTACCCTCTGGTAATTCAACATTGCTATTGAAAATGACCGTTTATAGTTGATTTACTCTAGCCATTGAAATGATAATTTTCCATAGCAGACTGTCAGTCTACCAGAGGGTCAAATTTCCCTTTCATGGCAAGTTTTGTTGACCAATATTTTTTTCACCGAGCTTGACCAAGATTTAAAAAAAATGGATGCTATTTCGGGTTGTCAAATTTGATACCCCCAGTCACATCATGGTTTAGCCATAACGTCGCTGCCAACTTCCCTCATCTTCAAAGAAATTTCATGTTCCAAATCCCTGAAAATCTAAGGCCAAGTTGGCCAAGTTCTGTTGAAGCTCTGTTGAAAATCTGTTCTTTAACACCATGTTTCTTCCATTTTGGCTGGTGTCTTTTAGCCATTTTCCGCCAGAAATCCACAGCGGACTCGTCCAAGTCACCCAGAAATCGCTGCAAGGCTTCACCTGACAGCGAAGCGGCAGCGGAAAGCGAGGTGGAAAATCATGGGATGATGATGTTTCCTTTTTTTAGTATGTAGATGTATGTAGTCTATAGATACTTTATATATTTTATGATTTAATATGTGGGAAATGATCATATTTTCATGGGATAGTGATAATTTTGATCATATTAATGGAATATGAGAATCATGGGATAATACTAGAAAATTGATCACTAATTCGTGATCATTTGGGACTTTAAAAAATCCTTGAAAAATATCCATTGATATATGGCGATGCTGGTGGATAATTTGGGACTTTAATATCCTCTAATATCTGAAAAAATGGGAGATAGTTTGATTTCTTCGGTCGCCCAAAGGGCCCACTTTTTGGAAATTGGGACTTGTTGATCATCCCATAGAGATCCCGCTGCTTGATCATCCCAATGGAAAGATGGAAACACCACGAAGCAATGGGACTTGGTGAAATCTGGTGATCATTCTTGTGGGATAATCTCCATAATCTCCATGGGATAAACATTTTTAGGGATTTCAATCGGACTTCTTGTGGGATAATCTCCATGGGATATTCACAATGTATATGGTATGGGATTTCATCTCCATGGGACTTTGATTAGGACTTATTTATTGGATCATCTCAGTGGTTTATGGGAGATAATCCATGACATAAACCACTGAGGATTTCAATGGGACTTTGATTCGACCTTGATGGGCTGTAATGAGATATTTCATGGGATATTGCCGAGGTAAAGACTCCATTGAATTAGACCAAAATACTCCGGCCGACCTATGTACTTGCCAGGTTCAATATCTAATTCCAAAACCTGGTTAGAAAATGTTGGAAATACCCTCGAGCTAAATCAATACCCGGGGTTGATCCTGATTTATTTGGGGTTCCTTGTGGAAGTATTTACATCTGGTTGGTGGTTTCAACCCCTCTGAAAAATATGAAAGTCAGTTGGGATGATTATTCCCAACTGAATGGAAAAATAAAATTCATGTTCCAAACCACCAACCAGATTAAGTGTAGAATTAGCCTCTGGTAAACGTTTACATAACTATAGAAAGATCCACCATTTTGAAGTTCGGTAAATCAAGGAACTAAATGTGGTATCACCCATATTATATAGAGGATAGAATGATAATGCCCATCAAATATATATATATACGCTTAGTCTCCAGTTTTTTCACGCAAATAGGGAAAAGCCACCAGAAATGTAGATCATGTTCATTGGTGTTCCAGTGTTCCATATCAATGTTAGTTAACTCCAGGGCAATCCTTTCCAATGCATAGATCTGATACTAAGGGTTTTAGGGTGGTCGAAAAAATAAATTGTCATTTCACTTACCTAGACTGGAGCTACTGTACCATCTAAAGCCATATTTCAGGGATATATTCTTCCCCTACATAGCCCTTACATAGACCTGAAAAAGGGGTAGGTACCTCCAATGAATCGGTACCTGAAATGGCCAGTGATAATTTCGGGAGAAGGGATTTCCTTGGCTTTTTGCCGGACCATGGACATTTTTAATGCGTAAACGATGATGAAGCCTACAATTTTAAGCGGCACCCTATCTTCAGACAAACTCATGAGTTGAACGGGGGCAAGAAACACATGATTGAAAACCACCAGCCCTACAAGTGAGCAGTGTTTGAAACCCCGTCATGTCATTCCATTGAATCCTGGTTGGTTAAGAACGGGATTCCCCGTTCTTGGATGATGAAATAATCCCCAATGACTATGAAGGGTAGTACCCTCTGGTAAACCAACAGGTTGCCAAGGGAAATGGCCCAGTTGAAATAGAAGAAAACTACCCAGCTATAAAATGGTGGATCTTTCCATAGTTTTTTGTTAACGTTTACCAGAGGGTAAACCTCCATGTTCCTATGGTTTTCCTAAGAAAAATGGTGGATCTTTCCATAGTTATCTCATTATCATCCCTATTGATTCCCATTAAATCCCATCAAAAACCCATTAAATCCTCATAATCATCCACAGGGCTGGATCGCAGCCACTGCTAAGCGTGATGAATCCCATAAAGAGAGATGAAGAAAACAAATCTCCTGATGAACCATCCTGAGCCAAAATCTTCCGTATACTCGGATACTGCTGTCATTTAGAAATTAACAATAATATATTATATTATGTTGTATTATATCATATTATATTATATTATATTATATTATGTTATGTTATGTTATATCATATTATATTATATTATATTATATCATATTATATCATATAATATTATATTATATTGTATTATATTGTATTATATCATATAATATTATATTATATTATATTATATACACATTATGACTACATGCATGTGCATCCCACGAATCGGATCCGTGGTTTATAATCCATATATAACCCCTATTTCATCTCATATGTAAGTGGGGATATGCCATGAAAATCTATCATATATACCATCTGCTTATGACATTCACAGTTTGCCATGGAAAGATCCACCATGCTATTTTCAGTTCGGTAGTCACCATCTATTTCGATTAGGGCCATCTATACCATGGCTATGTTAGTCATAACCAGGTTGGCTAACTGGGGTTGTTGATCCAACCACGCTAGCCCTGGCTCCGTAAAAAAAACCAAGTCCCAAGTCCAATGGATTCACCAAGTCCACAGCTATCCGATGGGAGATTTATGGCCACCGAAGAATGGATTCCAAGGGAACAGGTCTTCAAACCATAGCTGGCTTAAAAAAACTGGCTTAAAAGGTGATATAGTGGGCATAATGGGGATATATATACATATAATATATATATATATATATACAATGTGAGGCCCCCGGCCACGATAGCTAAGTTTTGCCATGTGTCTGATCCCAAGTTTCAACATGTAGACGGGTAGACTCATTTCCCATCTCCGCCAGCTTTGAAAGCTTCAAAGAAATACGACGTTTCTCATGGTTCCCTATGTTTTCAGAGGTTCAAGTCACTCCAGCTCCCATTTTCCATCCATCTCTCCCAAAAAATTTTGATGTTTTCCCCATGAATCCACACATTTTCCCCAAGTTTCTCCTATGTCGCAGCCTTTTTCCCTCCATTTTTTTCCACCCTTTTTCCCTCGGTCCCAACTCCTTCGCACCTCCACCCTGGCCCCAGAACACCGGCACCGCTGCTGTGCCGCCCAGCGGGGCGGTCAGAGCAGTCGCTTCCGCTGCGTCGCAGTAGAGGCAGGCCAAATTGGAAGCCTGGCACAGGAAGAGTTGGATGACATGTGATGATTATTAATATATAATTAATGGATATTATTAATATTAATGGACATGACATGTAATTAATGGTTAATATTAATGGATATTGATGACATGTAATGGTTGATGATGGTTAATATTAATGGTTATTATTAATATTAACCATATGTGGTTCATATTAATGGATATTATATGGTTAATGATGGTTAATAATGATCTGGTTAATGTGATGGTTATAGTGATTATATAATGCTAGTATAGATATTTTAGTGAAATATAGTATAGTGATGATCATAGTGATTGTATTACATGACTATAGTGATTATCATCTGGTTGGTGGTTGACCTACCCCTCTGAAACATATGAAAATCAGTTGGGATGATTATCCCATATATTATGAATAAAAAATGTTTGAAACCACCAACCAGTTATATAATACTATTGGAAATATATCCTAATAACCCAATAATCATCACATGGATATTATAATATATATGACTTAATATTACATGTAACTATATTATATACCTGGCACTATAATATATGCTACTTACTATTGGATATTTACTAAAATAGTGGCTATAGTGACTATAGTTACTTTTGAGTTGGATAATAATATACTAATGGTTTATAAATTATATATGATAATATATCGCAATATTAGAATATATATCGCTATATATGAAAATATACTCACAATCAGTATTTTAGTGATTTATATATTTATTAGAAAAACTAATGGATGATTGGGGGTACACCCATGGATTGGAAACCTCCATAGAATGCTGATGAGTAATAATGAGATACTAACAATGATGATTTAGTGGTGATTTAATTTCAACATCATTCGACCACACGGCCGTCTGGGCAGTGCTTCCAACTGTCCAAAGTTTAACCAGAAATGGGTACCTGGTTTACCCGGAGGGGCTGTTCAGGATCCAAAAAGCTTGAAACATCAGATTAAACATATGGAAAAACACAGCATCTGGAGATTGTCGAGGCACCAACCTCAAATCAAAAACCATTTGGATGAGGTACACCATTATTCCATATATATATATCCGATTATCCCATTGTTGTCCATTTGGATTGACTAATTCTCCTTATGAATTATCATTCCAGTGACGAAAAGCCGTGGTCGTCATAGTTCATCCTTAAACAGCATCAGATCCCCCTGGAAATATTGGTTGGTTAATCTATATATCAACATTTTGTCAATGGCCATTTCAGGAACCTAAATTGTAGGTACCTACCATATGTAAGGCCTATGTAAGGCCTATGTAAGGGGATATCCCTACAAAATATGGCCTTATATGGTACAGTACCTCCATTTTAGGATCCTGGAATTCCCATTGATTTTGGCGCATTTTGGCTTAAATAATCTATTAATCTACAATAATCTCCAATAAAGTACTGAGTAAAACATCCAAAAATATCCAAAAAGCTGTTTTGGGGAGGCTCTGCCGGGTCCAGTTGGCACCTGAAATAGAGGTTGCTGCTCGTGATGAAGGAACATACCTAAGTTGCAACAAATCCTCTGGATCTAGCAATCGGATGCAATAGGTAGCTATATACATATGTATATATATATATATGTGTATATATACCTAGATTGATTTACACATGGTGCAAATTGACCGACTTGAATTCAACCAAGGACCGGAGAAATGAAATAGCATTGATGATGGTTGGAGATAAGTGTTGTGATAGTATATTAAAAGTAGCTAAAAATATCATCAGAAATCATCAAAAAAAACATATAAAAGTACATAAAACTATTAAAAAAAACATACCACAATAGAAATGTTTTATGATGATAAATTTTAAGCCTTATTGTTTGCAGCCAAAGTCATGGAATTCCCGCAACATATCATCCCTTGCATCATCATGCATCATCATGCATCATGCATCATGCATCATCATAATCATCACCATCATCATCATCATCATCGTCATCGTCATCATCATCATCATCATCATGCATCATGCATCATGCATCATGCATCATCATCATCATCATCATCATCGATGGTTTCTGATGTTTGAGGTTGCTATAAATAATCCACTATGACTGGTTGGTGGTATACCTACCCCTCTGAAAAATGATGGAGTTCGTCAGTAATGATGATTATTCCCAATATATCTGGAAAAATCATCCATTCATCTTCCAAACCACCAACCAGTAACTATAGATTATAGTTAACACTTGGTGGTAAACTACCCAGGAATCGTTTAGGTGGGTATATGTAAAAAAAAAAATGTTCCAAACAACCAAGCAAATGAATTCATGTACACCTTGCAGGTACACCACCCGGGAGCCTGGGATGATTTCAGTCTCCAGCAGAAGCGGTCCAAAAGCGGCCCCCAGTTACGTGCTGTTGGTCAACGTGACATGAACCGTTCTAAACGATATACCCTCTGGTAAACATACAAAAAACTATGGAAAGATCCACCATTTTTCATGGGTAAATCAACTATAAATGGCCATTTTCAATGGCTATGTTTGTTTACCAGAGGGTATCTACTACAGCCGATGTTGTAGATCAACTTGAGATAGCTATAAACCGGTTAAACAAACCATGGTTAACCTCGATATACCTACCATGACCCCAAGCCATATAACTATAAAATACATGAAAATACTTTAAACCAACTTCACTGTCAGGCGCCCCCGTTGCGTGCGACAATGTCTGCGTCCAAGCGACACCCTGGCTGAGCGTTCTCTGCACCTGCGCTAGTCATGAAGATGAGGAATATCAACCGCTGGGCTATTTAATTGAGGGGGGGAAGCAGGGTTTTTCCCCAAGACTTGTTAGCTGTTGGTTGATTTGGCTATGGGTCAATTGTCTTTGGGTACCGCAATAGCTGGCCCCGGTCTTGAATTTGGACCTAAATTTGAAGTCTGGGGTGGACTGGGGCGAACTGGGGCGAACTCTTCAGCAACGAAGATTTCTGAGATTGGCGACATTGCTGCGCAGCAAATAAGTCGAGAAACCTCCTGTAAACTGGCCAAAAAAAAAAACAAAACGGAAGTAGGTTTTGTGGATGGAAATAAACAACATGATAGAAACCTTCTACGTTTTCAGGGGTTGTCCAAAAACGGGGTTGTACGTGGTAAGCTTAATAGTCAACTATCCCCAATATTACAGTAAATGAGTGGTAAATATCATGCCCGAATGGTAGGTTCATTATTGGGTTTACCACATCAATTGTGTGGTTCATCAACTGGTTAATCTCAAGGGAGAAGCCACAAAACACCAATTTCCCCCTTTGCAGAAGTAGTTTGCTCCTGGATGATTATAATAGTTTTCATCAAGTGGTTAATATACTGTTAATAATGGCTCATATTAATGGTTAATGATGGTTATATAATAATAATCTGGTTGATGGTTTCAACCTACCCCTCTGAAAAATGGTGGACTTCGTCAGTAATGATTATTCCCAATATATCTGGAAAAAGCATCCATTCATGTTCCAAACCACCAAGCAGTTTGGGTATAGCTTGCCGCGACCGAAGAGTTTGACCCAAGGTCATCCACCAGAGTTGATATGGAGATTCAACCACCCCGGTACCAGGCAAACTCCCCTTTTTTGGCATTTTTTATAGTGGGTTTTCCCATGAAAAATGGTGATTTTCCATAGTTAATAGTTATGTAAACGTTTACCAGAGGGTGACCTATACTGGTTGGTGGTGCAAGTTCACCATCTTGAAAAATGATGGAGCGAAAGTCAATGGGGTTGGGAGGACATCCGATATATGAAATGGAAAACAATCCAAATGTTTGAAACCACCTGGTTCATAATCTCGTAGAAACGCGATTGTTGGTGGTTAAGAGCCGCCCGAAACATGGGCCCAAGCATTTTTGGCTCGGCATGAAACTCAATTTGGGATCAATTTGGCAATCTACCCTCCAGTATGTAATACCTATGGAAATCATGATTTAAAAAGGTAAATCAATTTAAATCTTCTATACATGGACTATTTTGCAATGGCTAGGCTATGTTAGTTTACCACAGGGTAGCCACTACGGCGACCCCGTTTTCTTCAACGAATGTGGTGCAACCCGACGCACCTACGACACCTACGATGCCAATGCCGCGCTCAACTTTGAAGTTCGGACCAAAGGCAGCCTGTGGAGTGCCGTCGATAGCCGTCCTGGAGTAGCTAGTCATCAAGTTCAAAAAAATATCACTAAATAAATATCACTAATTTTTTTTGGAATATGATGTATTTAAAAAAAAAAAAACAACAACAACAACAACACAACACAACAACCAAACATATTCTGTCTACTTCAGGATTCTATAATTCTATGTCCACCATTCACTGAAACCTGGACAAAACCATCCTGTTCACCCAAGCATTCACCGTTGAACAAACGGGTTGAACTTTGGGTTTACCAAAAAAACACAATACAATCTGGTAATTTAACATAGCTATTGAAAATGATCATGGAAATAGTGGATTTACCCAGCTATAAAATGGTGATTTTCCATAGTTTTTTGTATGTTTACCAGAGGGTAACTCATATAACTCCATATGAATGAGTATGGCTGGAGGGTCAAAAATTCCAAAAATTCCAAGAGCAAATTCCTCCTAACTCCCGGCCGAGTTGAGTCAGATGCTGATATCCATCTTCAGATCCATAAAAAAAATGTCCAGCTGGGTTTCTGGTTGTTCCATATCCAGAAAAAATATCCTCATTTAGCTGGTGAGTTTCATTTTAAAACCTTCATTTTGCTGCTTGCATCCCGTCCATCCTGCTCATTTTCGGTTACAAATGACTCGGGGCCGAGGAAGTCATTGGAGTACCCCGAGTCATCGAGGAATTTGGCATTTAGATCGAGGAATTCCTACAAGCTAAAAACCGTTGTTTCATCTAAGTTTTAGAGTAATTTCCTGAAATTTAGGAGAGCTACTATTCCTGAAAATTCCTGAAGCTTGGGTCGTACCTTGGCACGTCGTACGTTCACTTCCCCCAAAAAATGAATCATAGAATACTTAACCCAGCAAGCGAAGGGAAGAGACGAACGGGATCCCCCAACTAGATCTGGTTGATGGGATCCGAATTACATATATATATAATATATATATATATACCTGCAATGTGAGGCCCCCGGCCACGATAGCTAAGTTGGGGTTCACATCACTCAAATTTCACGATGGTTTATGGTACGCAAATAACGAACTAGTTGCTGGGGCGAATCTAAACCAACATACATAACTGGGGGGCCCACATTGTGGTTGGTGGTTTCAACCTATCCCTCTGAAAAATGATGGACTTCGTCAGTTGGGATTATTGTTCCCAACTGAATGGAAAAATAATCCAGTCATGTTCCAAACCACCAACCAGATATATTGTTATTCCAATTATTAACCATTATTAACCATAGATTAACCATAGATTAACCATAGATTAGCCATAGATTAGCCATAGATTAACCATAGCACCAACCAGATATATATCCCAATTACTTACCATCGTCCAATGACATCTTGAAGGACTGCCGGGATCAAATGCACCAAGGCCTCACCAAACATGGGATATGGCTGTGGTAAATGTCCCATGGCTTGGGGATTTTGAACATCACCAAAACAAGTATCTGTTGTAGATTCTATCCCCAATATTTGGGTGATGTTCAATTAGGACATTTACCAACCCCTGCTAAAAATGGGTTGGAGCCCCCAAATTTTGACGTTGAAGACTCTGCGGAAGGGAAAGTAGCGAGAAACCGCTGCCTTTTGGTGGTACCTTCTGGTCAGACAACCCCCCTTCAGCCATCATGATTCCCATAAACTTGAAAAGAAACAGTACTGTAATCACTGGTCAAATTTCCCACATTATAACCCCATTAAATGCCAATCTTAGATTATCATCCCAATTTAGTCTGTTGTGCTTTTTGTAATGAAATGCCAATAAAAATGGTAATGATACGTGATGATAATCTATAGATTACTATGAACCATGCCAATAATCATAGATTTAAGATTATTGAATGCCATATCATCAATATAAATCCTTGCCAAGAATCAATGCGGAACCACCTTAAAAGTAAGAATAAGAACCACCACTTTATCCCCATTTTATCATCCCCATTTTATCATAAGAAGGTGGCGACTGTTAAACTAAAGTATCATTCTCATTAGATGGTGGATTCCCATTTTATCATTACCATTTTATCAGTCCCATTTATCATTTCCATTTTATCATTCCCATTTCATCATTCCCATGTTATCATTCCCATTTTATCATTCCCATTTTATCATTCCCATTTTATCATTCCCATTTTATCATTCCCATTTTATCATTCCCATTTCATCAGTCCCATTTTATCACTCCCATTTTATCATTCCCATTTTATCATTCCCCTTTTATCAGTCTATAGATTACTATGAACCATGCCAATAATCATACATTAAGATTATTAAATGCCAAATCTAGATCGTTAAATGCCAAGAATTATAAGAACCATGGAAAACTAGTTATTTAACATAGCCATGGAAAATCCCTTATAAATGGGGGTTTTAATGGGAAAATCATCTGTAAATGGGCCATTTTCCAGAGGGTAGAAACCATGTCTACCTTGAAGTCGTCGGCTCCCCGCCTGTATGTCATGGCGTGAGATCCAGCACATGCCCTCCGCAGATTCAGCCTGATCCCAAGCTAGTTCACCAAGGAGTGAGGGCCGTTTCACCAACAAAAAAAACGTTAAAACATCTGAGTTGTGTTTTTTTTCCTTGCTAAACTGCAATACACAAATTAGTACACCTACGCGGGGCCTACGCAAATCACTCCTCCCAAGCAAGACTGCCTACGCGAGGGTTACCTTTCAAGAAGTGCCTACGCGGTTGCCTCCGCGAAAGTTGCTGCAACGATCTCTTTACTTGACGTGATGTGGAATAGAAAGAATTGGAAGATGACGATTCTTTGGGTGACTTGTGAAAGGAAAGCGGAAGCCTCATCAAGAGTGCAGCACTGTGTCATGATGTGATCGGCAGTCATGATGAACTCATGGAAACATTAGAAAAGTGAAACGGTAAGCCAGATTCTGGTTATGGAGTACTATATCCAAGATAATGGGGTCATTATTGGAGTACTATATCTAGGGGGTTGAATATCCAAGATAAAACCAATCATGTGGATTTTGGATATACCCTCTGGTTATGACTAACAGTTCGCCATGGTATAGATGGCCCATAGAAATAGATGGTTTACCGAACTTAAAAATGGTGAATCGTTCCATGGCTATGTTAAATAACCAGATGGTAAAACATCTGGTGATATCATGTGATAGTAAAAACAAAACCATGAAAAAAACATGAAAAAAATGAAAACTATAGAATATGGTTTAGAAAACCATTACCCTCTGGTAAACATACAAAAAGCTATAGAAAAAGGCCATAGAAATAGTTGATTGACCCATTTTGACCCATGAAAAATGGTGATTTTCCATAGCAAACTGTTAGTTTACCAGAGGGTAAAAGCCGTCTTTTTACATCTGGTGATATCATGTGATATCCCTCAACCCAATCAACACATGTGGATTTAAACATGATTTAGCAAAACCCATAGGATCCATGGTGCTGGTATATATGCTAACATGAATGGAGTATATTGGTGGGATCCATGCTACCATATATATATATGATCGAGAGACCTGTAGGTACCATTTTGTTCCGGTTAATTCTGATAATTTTGAGAGCCTTTTGGATAATTGAGAGGATTTGAAGAATTAAATGATTTAATCCTTTTAATCCTTTTAATCCTCCAGAGCCTTTTGGGGGATTAAAAGGATTAAAAGGACTAAATGATTTAATCCTTTTAATCCTTTTAATCCTCCAGAGCTTTTTGGAGGATTAAAAGGATTAAAAGGATTAGATGATTTAATCCTTTTAATCCTTTAATCCTCCAGAGCCTTTTGGAGGATTAAAAGGATTAAAAGGATTAAATGATTTAATCCTTTTAATCCTTTTAATCCTCCAGAGTCCTTTGGGGGATTAAAAGGATTGAAAGGATTAAATGATTTAATCCTTTTAATCCTTTTAATCCTTTTAATCCTCCAGGGGGTCCGGAATTCCCGGCCCAAGCCCTTGAGAAATATATTTAAATCCATTTAATCCTTTTAATCCTCCAGAGCCTTTTGGAGGATTAAAAGGATTAAAAGGATTTAAAGAATTAAATTGCTGGGCTTTTCTTGGGATTCTGGCAGGTCTGGAGGATTAAAAGGATTAAAAGGATTAAATCATTTAATCCTTTTAATCCTTTTAATCCTTTTAATCCTCCAGAGCCTTTTGGGGGATTAAAAGGATTAAAAGGATTAAATCATTTAATCCTTTTAATCCTTTTAATCCTCCAGAGTCCTTTGGGGGATTAAAAGGATTAAAAGGATTAAATGATTTAATCCTTTTAATCCTTTTAATCCTTTTAATCCTTCAGGGGGTCCGGAATTCCCGGCCCAAGCCCTTGAGAAATATATTTAAATCCATTTAATCCTTTTAATCCTCCAGAGCCTTTTGGGGGGATTAAAAGGATTAAAAGGATTTAAAGAATTAAATTGCTGGGCTTTTCTTGGGATTCTGGGAGGTCTGGAGGATTAAAAGGATTAAAAGGATTAAAAGGATTAAATGATTTAATCCTTTTAATCCTTTTAATCCTTTTAATCCTTTTAATCCTCCAGACCTCCCAGAATCCAAAGAAAAGCCCAGCAATTTAATTCTTTAAATCCTTTTAATCCTTTTAATCCTCCAAAAGGCTCTGGAGGATTAAAAGGATTAAAAGGATTAAATCATTTAATCCTTTTAATCCTCCAGAGGTCTGGAGGATTAAAAGGATTAAAAGGATTAAATCGTTTAATCCTTTTAATCCTTTTAATCCTTTTAATCCTCCAGAGCCTTTTGGAGGATTAAAGGATTAAAAGGATTAAATGGTTTAATCCGTTTAATCCTTTTAATCCTCCAGAGCCCTTTAGGGGATTAAAAGGATTAAAGGATTAAATGATTTAATCCTTTAATCCTTTTAATCCTTTTAATCCTCCAGGGGGTCCGGAATTCCCGGCCCAAGCCCTTGAGAAATATATTTAAATCCAGTTAATCCCTTTAATCCCCCAGAGCCTTTTGGAGGATTAAACGGATTAAAAGGATTAAAGGATTTAATCCTTTTAATCCTTTTAATCCTCCAGAGCCTTTTGGAGGATTAAACGGATTAAAAGGATTAAATGATTTAATCCTTTTAATCCTTTTAATCCTTTTAATCCTCCAGGGGGTCCGGAATTCCCGGTCCAAAAGGATTAAAAGGATTTAAAGAATTAAATTGCTGGGCTTTTCTTGGGATTCTGGGAGGCCTGGAGGATTAAAAGGATCAAAAGGATTAAACGGTTTAAAAGGATTAAATGATTTAATCCGTTTAATCCTTTTAATCCTCCAGAGCCTTTTGGTAGGTTCAACAGGGTTCCGGATAAAGTTCCGGGAGGCTTTGGTGCAGAGCCAGGTCAGGCTCAACAGGGCTCCGGGGTTCCGGAGAAGGTTCCGGGAGGCTTTGGAGCAGAGCCAGGTTAGGTTCAACAGGGTTCTGGTGAAGGTTCCGGAGAAGGTTCCGGGAGGCTTTGGTGCAGAGCCAGGTCAGGTTCAACAGGGTTCCGGAGAAGGTCTGGGAGGCTTTAGTGCAGAGCCAGGTCAAGTTCAACAGGATTTGTGGCCATTTAACTCACGGAAACCGAGCTGAAGTGTTTCCAGCGCTTGGCTTGGCAGCAGGCTTCAGAAAGATTGGTAAACATAAAACGTTGCGGCTGTTGGGCATACCACCGAAGCTTGTTTTCCAAAGACATTTGCTGTGGATGGAAATTGCATGTCCCTTCAAAGTTGCAAGAATGCAGGGGTGAGGCATGTCACCCTGCCTTTGGCAGCATTGTAAGTGACAGCACACGAGATTTCTTGTAAAGAAGCAACACCCGGATGTTTGTTTGAAATTTCCTGGAACAAATATTTTTCGACAAGGGCCACATCACCACATGGGACTTTGAAAAAAGCAATGCTCTTGAGCTGCATTGACAGCTGGTGAGCCTCCATCCACATTGTGCAAACAGACAACATCACCAGAAGTAATTGTTGCCCCAGAAAAAAGTTTACAACGAGAGCTCTGCATGCAAGGCATTCCCACAGGAACCACGCCAGCATTGCATAGGAATGCCGTCATCTTCTTTGTGGGGCCCCCTTTTTGCATTTTGTAGGCAGGTGCCTTCTCTAAACAGTCTTGACTCTTCACCCAATGTATAGATGTGCCCTGCAATGACAGACTTCCTCAGAGAAGTTTCCCAATAGGTAGTGTTGCACAAGACATTCCCATGTTTTCTAGTGCCTTTGTGCTTCCTTTCCATGGTCCAGCATGCAGGTAATTGGCCATGCCTCTGGAGACTTTGACTATAATATGAAGTGACCAGTGCATCTTTGGCTCGAATTCTTCCGACCAGTCAGCTGCAACAGTTGCCTCCAATGCTGCTTCAACAAATGAAAGCAATTGCTTGTAGTCAGGCTTTTCCAAAGCAGGGATGGATAGGCGATAGTCCAAAACTTTGCACCAAGCCAAAGAGCAAGTTGACCCCAGAAGACAAATGCCATTAGGCAAGCAACAAATTTGGACATAGTGTGCCAGCACCTGGTACAGACCCAGAATCTCTGAGGATGCATCTGAACTTCCCAGCTTTTTTGTGGCCTTCCACTGCTTTGGGCAGAAATAGCCTTTTCAAATTGCATTTGTGAATGGCAGGCTGGGCCCAAAGTTGCACAAAGCCATGTGCCTTCCAAATCTCAGCCACACCACTGGAAGCAAGCGGTTGGATCCACAAAAACAAATACCTAGTTCAGCACACCATTTGGGCAGAGCCCATGCATATAATCATGCATGTATTGGGTGATTGGTCTCAGAAGGTTCTGGGACTTCAGCTTGTCACTCAGCAAGAGTGAATGCTGGGAATAATCAACCCCAGAAGCCTGGCTCCACCTTCTTAACTCGGTTTTGTTGCACTCTTGCATCCTTGCCCACGAGGACAGGATTTCTTGGTCTGTTGCAACATCCAACAGAGAGTTTCAGTCTTTTAAGACCTCCCTGTAAAAGTACCTCAGAATGAGGATGAGCATATTTGTTGTCAAACATGTGCTCCAGGATCAACCTGAAACATTGGCCAATGCTGGCTGCCAGCTGTGAGACTTGCTCACTCCTCTTCCCGAGCAATGTCAACCAACTTTCAGAATTTGACAGCGTGGCCCCAAACTGGGCAGATGAACAGTAAATTGCCCATGTATTCCTAGAATTCCCTGCCAATTGGTTGCCAGGGTGCAGTTCATCTACATAAAGAATGCAAGACCAAGGGTTGTTGAAGGAACCAGGGTTGTTGTCATGTACCTTGTCAAAATAATCCGCAAAGCAGCCACCAGCTGCATAAGCACCAGCCAAATAGTTAAAGATGTTGGCAAATGCCAATTCCACAGGGTCCTCTCCCAAAATCATAGCTGAAGGCCAGCAATGACCTGCTCAACAAACTCTCTGATTTGTTTCCTTTTGTGACTAGCAGGAATGCCTTCCTGGGCTGCCAAAGTCAATATTGCTTCCAGGGCTGACTGGCTGCAAAATGGGATTCTCTGTTTAAAACTTTGCAATTTTG